ATGCACAAAACCCGTTTCGTTACCATATACACAACGGCTTATGAGCTGTTTTAATTGATCGGTATGTTTTTGAGACGGGATTGACACAGTTGTGAACTGGTAGCCGGGATTAAATGGGGAGGAAGGGGGGGGGGGAGTAGTGACCGGTTCAGGACAGTGCGATACCAGTGTGGCGAGTCAGTGTATTGAGGTGATGGTGGAAATGGAAGTGAGCATGTGAAGATCTTAATATGCAAAAAAATCGATAACGATCGATAGTCTATTGTAAGCGCAGTTGATATTACGATTGTAGCTATTAATGTATGTACTAATAACGTAGCGTTTTTTGTCGACTATACGGAAATTAGACCGCTTTCTATTCATCGAAATTTTTTGAGTTAAAAATATTTTTTCTCCGCAAATCGGCTCATGCGAATGTAATAGTTGTACCACAATGTGCTGTCCAGCACCGATTTGTATTTCTAATTATTAGAATCTTTGCTAGGATTCAATTTCATCTTCTTTGAGACCTAACTATGCAGTGTGAACAATAGATGATTTATGACTGCGTGCCACCGCGGATCACCAGCGGCTCGGCGGCTATCCGCCGGCGACTTCGCCATGCAAATCGTACAATTCTGATGTCGAATGATCGCTCACGGTTCTGCACAGCTATTGGTCGCATTTGGTTGCTCGGCTCATGACATCGTCGCTCTGGGGCCGCGCAACGTCATCATTCACGGAATTTTTTATTGCAAATACGAGATATGATGCACAAACAAGGACTGCCTGGTACAGGCGAAAGGGCACACGCGCGACAATCGCCGCCAGCTCTCCGCGCCGCCATCGCTATAACGAAATCGCCAAACCGTATCGTTTTGAAAGCGAATCGCTGATGTGTCGCTATGGATATGAAAATATTTGCTTCCAGAAAGATGGAATTTTCTGGAAAAATAACTTGAAAGGAATAAAATCTGGGCTTTGCGACGATGCGAATAGCTCTACAATTGTCAAAAAATTGCACGATTCATAATCGCTTTTACTTTATCTCGCATCTCCCCTCTATTTCCTTTTCTTATTCAATGTCATTTCCCCCCCCCCCCCCCCCAAATCTGCTTTATTCTGAGACAAAATTTATGCTAGAACAAATGCCAGCTCAACCTCCTGACAGCAAGGAATTTTTGCTGAAGAATACATGTATTTATGGTGAATTGAAATCACTATCCAGCGGAATGAGATGGAGTAGGTAGAATTACTGGCACAAAGAATTACATGGTTGCTTTTGTAAATTCGTAATTCTTCGAAATACTTCACGTTCTTATATGTTAGGATAGTTCCAAGCAAAGTTTTGGGGAGATGAAAGTGTTAAGAAAAAGCTCAAAAGCTTTGGAAATCGCAGCGTATTTGTGACTGCGAGAGCTGCCTTTTTGCTGTCTTCACCGCTTTATTCACGCACAGCATTTCCATAGTTTTTGATAGGATTTCATTAGCAGACTTTCTTCTATTTTTTTCCCTAATTTGATTATCAGTAGTATTATCGCATTATCTCTTCCTGGCTCTTCCTTCGATCCAAAAGTAAACTTTGCTCTTTCTTTTCACTTCTCACAATGAGCTACAACTGTCAAATGCGCAGCTTTTCACACTTTTCGCCGAGTATTTGCTGATGTTTGTTGGCTGGCGCGAGAGTCCAGCACTGATCGGCAACATTCGCGGTGGTCAGCGGTGACAGCAGCCCGCCCTTTCGTGTCGACGTCGGAGGTCCACAACGACTCGTCCTCGTCGTGCCGCCGCGCCATCGTGGCACCTGATTCGTCGAGCTGTATTTGGAGTGTTCGAATTCAGCTACTGAGTGGATGTATGCTGGATCGAAGTGAGTGCTACGGACTTTTGCTGGGTATCGCCGTCGCCGCCGCCGCCGCCGCAAGCTGCTGCAGCGCCTACAGGTCGCCGACGGCCGTCACCGCCGGAAAACAGGGGTCAGAAAACTGAAACGCCAACACCAGGCGCCGCGACTCGTTCGGTGCAGCTTTCACTTCACGCACTTGCGCTCTTATCGTGTCTCGCGTTCCAAATTTCATTTTCATCCGAGCGCATGGACAGCGGAGCAGCCACGGACAACTGTGCCAATGTCAGTGCCATCGCCACCACCGCCACCACCACCGCCAGCGGCTCCTCCGATGCCGCTCACGATTCCGAGCGTCGTAAGAAAAAGCCGTACAAGGAGCTGACCTTGCAGGAGAAAGTGCAACTGATCCGACTGGCCGAGGAGAACTCCGGCATGAGCCAAGCGGCCATCGCTGAGCGCTATACGATAGCAAAGAGTAATGTGTGTCGGATTCTGCAGAGGAAGAAGGAATACCTGATGGCCTACGAGTCGGCTGGTTATGCTGGGTCAAGGAAAAGGAAGCTGAAAGGAGCTGTGACGGAGCTGGGCGCCAACACTGGGATAACAGATTCGCGGCAAATGGGACTTTTAGTCCCAGCACATTGCGAAAATTCTGGTAAGAGTACAAGCTCTTTTAGTATATCGTTCCTTGGGCTATTCAAGCTTTTCTGTCTGATCTCACTCTACTTTTTGATCACACTATTTGGGTGAAGTATACCATGCGGAAATATTTTTCTGCGACTAATTCGCAGCTTTTTGGGTTATACGTTCAAACTTCTCGAATATTGCAATTCAAAGCTTCGCTCTACATTTAAATTAAGTCTAGCATTAGCTGAATTTCTTCTAATTCTACCCAATCCAGTCCTATCGGCATTTTTTAAAACTATTTTACAGTGAGTTTTTTTTGCTAAATAAACGTTGGAGAAAATATTATTGCAACTCACAGCCTATTTCGAAAAGTTCAAGGGGATATGGATGTTCTGCATTAGCAAAACATCCATATCCTTTTTTTGTTTCAAAAAAAAATTGCGTACTGATTTAAGAATACAACTAATTTGTAACTGTAATGAAGTAGCTTCTACCATGGACCTTTGAAAAAAGAAGAACTTATCCGCGGTTGGGCTGTCCTTTGTGATACAAGCTGTAGACATCTTTCAATGTTCCTTTCTATTTACAGTAATAATAGGAAATGATTTTTGCAGATTTGGATTCTCACAATATTATCTATACTTTCTGTGAGATGACAGAATGGGAAGAAGCTAAGGAGGTCTATCTACTATAGAAAGATTTTGAGAAAAAATATTTAAATCAATGGAAGAAATTTTTCACGTGGATGACGGTAAATTACAACTCGCTGCAAACGGAAGGAACTGATTTTTCAAATTTCAATTATAAGCTCTTTTACCGCGACTAGATAGGCTATTTTCCGCAGGTTACTGCCCCTTGCAAATCATCGTGCAATGATTTTCTTTTGCCGAAGGAGCAAAATGACTCTTTTTCGCGATGATGGGAGAGCTTGTGATCTATCATGGGTCCTTAGCTCATAAATTCTCAGACTGAGGTAATCCGTGAAAGGTTTCCTCGTTCAATTCCTCCCCCCCCCCCACCCCCCACTCGATCTTTATTTTCACTTCGCTTTCTCCAACTTTGCACTATTGTGTCGTTCTCGATTTCTTCACCGCGCCAAAAAGTTGCTTCCGTTTTCATCAGTTGTTGATCGCGCGCTCGGCGTCAACACGCTATTGTAGAGAGCAAAAAGTGACGAGACGCAAGCGCAAAGCGGAGAGCCGAGAGCGGTTTATACTGTGCCGCCTTGTGTACGCAATGCGACGTACGCAAACATGCACACAGCAAACACGTTAATGACCGCATAGAGTTTCCTTATGAGTTTTTTCTCGGGTTTTTCTTATGTCAACGAAAGAATCGCATGCAATGTGAACAATGTCAAACTCGAGAAGAAAAATTTCGGATTCAGTGTGAAACGGAATAAGATTTCATTTATCCTGTGGAAAACATCCAACAAGCTTGTCTACTCATATAAGCGAAATTTCTATACTAGACTTTTATGAACATGTTCCTTTTCCAACTTCACGAAAACAGTCCAAAACAAGTATCACATAATTCTTGAAAATTCCACTGGAAAACGTTTGCACTAAATTTCTTTAAAAATTCAAATCGTATCGCAGGATTTTGTGAATCTGAGATGTGAGGAGGGTAATCTTTAGAACGTTTTTCCTTTTAATCGCAGATAAAGGAAGTTGAGGTTACCAACAACAATGTGTAGTTAACGTAATCAACAAGAAAGTAATCAACAATTCAAATCTCCCCCTGACTCTTCTCAATTGACTTTTTTTGAAAATTTCACCGTCTGCTAGATGGAGCAGCACCCTTCTTAAAATCTGTCACATCCCATCAGCGTGTCGAGGATCTCTGGATCTTCGTCTCGCTTTTGTTTTTCGTTTGAAAGCTGCTCGACTCTGCTTTATTTGTATGTTCCTATGCCTGCTGTGTTGCTTCTGCCGCTCTGTTTCATTTTCGATTTTCATTCAGCGCAAAGTTTTTGTTCGCTCCGTACGATTTGACCCGTACTTTCTCCGGTTCAACGTCCCGATTTGAGATTCATAGATTCTTTATCTTAGACGATAGTTTAGCATTGTCGAAGCCGCTGAAACACAATTTTTCTTAAGTGTGCGCTTAAAAACTGGCAGTCATGTTTTGTAAGAGGAATCCTGCAAAGGTGCGATGAAATTTTATAAATTCTCAGATATCTCAGAACGCCATAGTTTTTTGACGCTCAGTGTCTGCTATCTCTTCAGGCAGCTATGACCGAGTTCCAGACAAGCTTTACGGTTTTCTCTGAAATCGTCTCTTATGATGGAAGTCATGCGTCTAGACCCTATACGGTGGTCCAGTCATAGAGGGGATACTTTTCAGTTTTTTGAAGATTGCAAATAAATCGTTAAAAAATCATTTTTGAAATAGGACCACTATAATTGGTATAACACTTTACAACCAAAATTGGCTCATTAATCAAGTTTAATCTAATTGATGTTCAAAGACAAGTCATCTACAGACAGAAACTCAGTGAACATATTTCATCTACAAGTGTAGATCAAATTGAAAGCTGTCACTTTAGGTAATGAAACTTTGCGAGCACATATGTACAAACAGCATCAAATTTCGCGCATGTTTATGTGCCGATGCTGCAACTGGGCATTTCCAGACAAGACCAGCCTGCACATGCACATTCAGGTAAGGCCATTTAGATTATCTCAGTTCTAGAGCTCACTGATAACTTTCAGGCTAGAGAAGAAGGAAAGTCGATTACGGTACCAGTGATTGGTAAGGGACTTGCTCCAGATGGCATAGATTCACCGTATTCCACTTTGCATTCGATTAACAACAATACCCTACCCCAAATGCAAAACCCTGGAGGTTAGAAAACATTTTTCGGAAGTAAAATCTCCGAATCGCTGCTTCTCTTCTTTACAGTGCTGAATGCCAGTTCCGGTTTGCCATTCTTTTCGCCTACCCCAGCACCCCAGCCATCGTTGCCATCATCAGCTGAGGATATGAACAGACTACGCGACCGACTGGTGCTGAATTCGTTGATGACCCAGCCTGGATTTGGCTTGGCTGCTGCTTGGCTGAATAATCTGCCCAAACCCATACCCAGTACGTCGAAATTCAACAATTTCCGTTTTTCAAAATCAGGTCATAATATTCTCAGCGACAAAACCTATGGTTGATTTGGTAAAAGAAGGACAAGAAGATGAATGTGAGGTGAACGTTGACAACAACGACACGCACAACGAACCGCACAACGACGATGAGAAGGTATGGACTGTTCTTTCTTCTAAGATACTTGAAAATCTCACAAAAATAATAAGAAAAGTTTCAGCTGAACGTGTCCAGTAGCGACTCGGATGAAAGCAAACCGTTGGTCATAAAGCGAACTGAAAGGTAACGCGCAAGTAAATTCTACCCGAAACTTTATGTAAATAATCAATGTATCGATTTTCTAGTCCTTGCGAGAATGGCTCAGCCACCAGCTCGGATGGAACTTCAAGCTCCGCTCATTCACCTGTAAACCTTTTCAAAAAGAGCAGCGACACCCCAAGTGCATTTCATCACCTTGTAAGTCCAATACGGCATTACTGTATCAATCGATATATTGATCGATTTCAGAACGTTGACTCACGTTTTGTCGTCTCACCATCGCACGTTTCACCATCAGAAACGCGATCATCAGCAAGTCCAAATGGTTGTTACGATTGTGCTGTGTATAAAACGAAGCTTACTATGGCAGACAATAAGTGTCGATATTTAGAAAGTCGTGGAAATACATTGCAGGTCGGTTTGGACATTTTTCATCCATGAATTTGCAGTCAGAGAAGAAAACTATCGTTCATTAGCAACGGCGGTTTTGCGGGATTCTTGTATTCTTGAATTCTCTCAAACCTGGGGTCCAACTATTCTGTATAAGATGAAAATCTGAATACTAAGAACTAGGATAGTAGGTTGAAAGCTCTGAACAAATCGCACTCTCACCTTCCCCTCCCCCTCCCCCTGCCTACTTAATCTTTACATCCTGTAGCATTACTGACAACACATTGTAGGTACGGTTTCCCTATTGCTTTAAGAAACTGGGATAAACGAAATTGATTGAATCCCGCTCTTTCCGCTCCTTTGAACAAGACCATTTTGCACTACAGTATGCTACCGTCATTCTGCGTGTCTTGGCGCAGATCGTCGCACACATGGCAAATTTCCCTTTTTCTGTAATTTGCTCAAGCAAAAGCGAGCAAAGTGCAACCGGTCCTAAATTTCCTGGCAGCGTTACGGTCGTGCAAATGATCTTTATTTCTCTTTCTGGAGGAAACCCCCGGAATAGTTAATCAAGGCAGTCATTTTCCTTACTTAGACTGAAGCTGTTCGCGCTCAAGCGCAAATCTCGTCCGCTGAAGCGGCTCTACGTGCACTAGAAGCAGAGACTCGTGCTTTGAGAGAACAGACGGAAATGCTGCATCGACGACTTCTTGATTGTCAGGTACGAGTTCACCGTGAGAGCAACGTTAAAGTCTTTGAAAAAAATTACATTTTTAGGAACAAGCCGTTCGATTTATGCAATGCGATCGAGTGTCAAATCCGCAAGCTGTGGCACTTTTCATGAACCATCTCATTCAGTCTACGATCATACGCTGAAGAGTGGAATTTTCGAATCTTTCGTTGCAATAATGTTATTTCTTAGTTTTAAGTAATAATCGTAATAATAGTAATAATCACGCACAAATGCGGACACATGCCTTTCATACTGTCTTTCACATTATTCTGCCAAATATTTTGGGAAGTAGGGTGATCTGATTTTATCCAGATCTTATGTGTGATACACCTACATACCAAAGGTTTTTTATGTCATCGATAACGTCTTTCTGTTCATCTTACTTCTATTCTTTACTCTACACCTTGATGCGAGTTGTATATATTCCTGCCTTTCATTTTCATTCGAACTAACGTGCAATGACCCAATGTCTTTCAATGTGTGGCCCCAGAGGCCAACCGAGTGTTGTTCTTTCAGTTCTTCCCCTATATACTCACTTTATAGTGCACAAATCCCCGTAAGTCCTTGTGCCTTGCAACTGGACCTAAAATTTCCAGACAACCAACGTTTTTAAGTTAACCAATCGAGCCTCAATGCACAATACTTGTGATTCTCGCGGTATTCTTTTTCGCTTCTTTGTTTCCAGTTTTTCCAATTCCTTCATACACGTGGCCAAAATGCGTGTAGATCACTTTCTAATCGATCAATAAGTGCAATATACCAATGTGTCTTTTCACTTTATCTACCACTGTCTGTGTTACATTCTACTTGTTGCCGTCTATCTGAGCCAGATGTGCGTGTGATATGTGTCCCTGTATGCCTGCCTTTCTATTTATTTCGTAATAAATACTGTACTGGTTGACAGGTGCACTACCATATATTCATTGTAAAGAAGGGGAAAGAAAAAATGACAGGTGGGGTAGTGGAGAAATGCCTATCACAGATTTCCCTTGTCTTGACATTCAAAAAAATTGCCGTTACTCTAGTTTACATAGAGAAATAAAAAAATAAGCCCCCAACGACATCTTCTCTTGCAAGATTGCAGAGTTGTCCAAAATCATATCCCTAGCTTTGCACGTAAAAATTTTACGAATTGCGAGCAAAAAATACGATCTTAATAATGCAACAAAGCTCTTATGCTGGCCCATAAGTCAGGACGACCAATTATAGTCGTGGCCTTAATGCGCTGTGGTCTAGGATTTATTTGAGTCTCTGTCTGACCGACTTTGCGAAGCTCATTACCTTCAATCCATCAGCGACATAATTGGTGATTGAACGCGCAGTGTTGTCTTTTTCTGTGTCCTACACCTGATATCTCAAAGTGTTTGAGCAATCAAATATCATAATTATGTAAATTATTGTGAGGTTACTATGCTACAGCTTTTGTAAGAGGCTACTACTGTTGCATTTGCAGCATTTCCGAAGCATTATTGAGGCTATCATTGCATTAATTGCATTTGCTGTAGTTTTTTCGAAGCATTATTGAGGCTATCACTGCATTTCTTCAGTAATCTGAAACACTGTCAAGGCTAACGCATTTGCTGCTGCACTTACGAAGCATCGTTAACGCTATTGTTGCATTTATTGCACTTTCGAAGCATTCCTGAGGCCTTTCTTGTATTTGTTGCATATGCTGCAGCATTTCGGAAGCATGGTTGAGGCCATTGTTGCATATGCTGCAGCATTCAAGCACTGTCAACTGTTGATTTGCAGCATTTCGGAAGCATTGTTGAGGCCATTGTTGCATATGCTGCAGCATTTCGGAAGCATTGTTGAAGCCATTGTTGCATATGCTGCAGCATTTCGGAAGCATTGTTGAGGCCATTGTTGCACATGCTGCAGCATTTCGGAAGCATTGTTGAGGCCATTGTTGCATATGCTGCAGCATTTCGGAAGCATTGTTGAGGCCATTGTTGCATATGCTGCAGCATTCAAGCACTGTCAACTGTTGATTTGCAGCATTTCGGAAGCATTGTTGAGGCCATTGTTGCATATGCTGCAGCATTTCGGAAGCATTGTTGAAGCCATTGTTGCATATGCTGCAGCATTTCGGAAGCATTGTTGAGGCCATTGTTGCATATGCTGCAGCATTTCGGAAGCATTGTTGAGGCCATTGTTGCATATGCTGCAGCATTTCGGAAGCATTGTTGAGCCCATTGTTGCATATGCTGCAGCATTCAAGCACTGTTGGTGCAACTGTTGATTTGCAGCATTTCTGAAGCATTACTGCTATCGTTGTGTTTGTTACATTGCAGCATCGAAGCATTATTGAGGCTATCGTGGCATTTGTTGCATTCTGCAGGATTTTCGAAGCGTTCTTGAGGTCACTCTTGTATTTGCTGCATATGCTGCAGCATTCAAGCACTGTTGGTGCAACTGTTGCATTTGCAGCATTTCTGAAGCGTTATTGAGGCTATTGTTGTATTTCTTGCATTCTGCAGGATTTTCGAAGCATTCTTGAGGCTATCATTGCATTTCTTCAGTAATCTGAAACACTTTTAAGGCTAACTGCATTCGCTGCTGCACTTACGAAGCATCGTTAAAGGCAGCGTACGCCCAAAATTTTGCCTTCGATGTTCTTGTCATTCAGGGGCCTTTCCGTGCCCCTGACTACAGTTATGACATCAAAATTCTCCAAAACCCCCAAGAAGCCTCGGTTCCCAGGGACCCTCTCTTGGGGGGGGGGACGAGTTTCGAATTGTCCGACCCCGTCGGTATGTCAGCGAGGAGCGGCTGCAACTGCATGGCAGCCTGCAGTTGCAACTGCAACTGCAACGTATGCTGTCGTAGACTCGTTGCTCGAAACAGGCGGACCACAAAAAGCAACTGCACTGGGTGACGGAGTTCCTTCCCCCATCCACTGCACTGTTGCAACTGCAGCTGCAACAGCTCGCTGCCCAGATTACGCTTTGTGGATTCATCCGAAGGAGACGGACCGCAAAGCAAGGGGCGGAGCGCAAAGAGAATCAGGCGAATTTTCTTCGCTTAGAAGCAACATTGGGAGGCCGGACCAACGCATTTGTCCTTCTTGTGGGCCCTACGTATACACCGTATAGAGAACTGGGTGTTTAGATTTTTGGTTACGCTGCCTTTAAAGGCAGCGTACACCCAAAATTGCACCTTCGATGTTTTTGTCATTCTGGGGCCTTTCCGTGCCGCTGATTACAGTTATGTCATTGAAATCCTCCAAAAGTCCCAAAAAACCCCGATTTCCGAAAAAACCCCGATTTCCGGGGACCCTCTCTTCAGGGGCGAACGAGTTTCGAACTGCTCGTCTCCGTCGGCATGCCAGCAGCTGCAACAGCATGACAGCCTGCAGTTGCAACTGCAACTGCTGCACATGCTGTCGTGGTCCGTCGCCCGAAGGAGGCGCACCGCAAAAAGCAACTGCACTGTTGCAACTGCAGTTGCAGATGCAACAGCATTGCAACAGCAGCTGCAACGGCAACTGAAGCTTACGCTGTCATGGATTCGTCCGGAGGAGGCGGTGTGAAAGAAAAGGGGCGGAGTGAAAGAAAATTGAGGGGGTTTTCTCCGCTCAGAAGCAACATTGGGAGACCGCACCAGCGCAGTTGGTCTTCTTCTGGGCCCAGTATATACACGGTATAGAAAGACCTAGGAAATTCGGTAACTTAGATTTTGGGTGTACGCGTTAAGGCTATTGTGGCATTTGTTGCAGCTTCCGAATCATTCCTGAGACCACTGTTGTATTTGTTGCATTTGTTGCATTTGTTGCAGCAATCTCGAAGCATAGTTGAGGCTATTCTTGCTTTTGCTGCAGCTCCAGCACTGTTGCGGCTACTGTTGTAATTTCAGCGTTTTGAAGCATTTTTGAATCTATTTTGGAGTTTGCTACAGCAGTTGCAGCATTGTTGGGGCAGTTGTTGCATATGCAGCATTTCCGAAGCATTGTGAGGCTATCAGTATATTTGCTTCAGCAGTCTGAAAACTTTTGGGGCTATTATTGCATTTTCTGCAGCAGTCTGAAACATTGCTGAGTCTACTGTGCATTTGTTGCAGCAGTTGGAGCATTGTTGGGGCTATCGTTGCATTTGCAGCATCTCTGAAGCTTTCCTTAGGCTACTCTTGTATTTGTTCCATTTGCTGCAGCAATTCGGAAGCATTCTTGTGGCTACTTTGCATTTGCTGCAGCATTTCCAAAGAATTGGAGTCTATTGCTACATATGCTGCTGCAGTCAAGCATTGTTGAGGCAATTGTGTTGACATTTTTGAGGCTACTGTTGCATTTGCAGTATTTCCTAAGCATTGCTAAGGCTATCGTTGCGTTTGTTGCATTTCCTGTAGCATTTCCGAAGCACTCTTGAGGCTATGGTAGCATTTACTGCAGCAATCTGAAACATTGTTGAGGCTACTGTTGCATTCACTGCACCATTACAAGAATTTGGTAGAGTAGAAAGTATCAATCTCGCTGCAGCAGTTTCAAGCGTTCTTTGATTTTCTCCACATTTTCTTACAGCATAATATTGCACTGAACGAGTTAGATCATCTTCCCTTTTAGTTGAAAATATGGTAAATTCAAACTAAAAAGCAATCTGTTTGCTGGCTTGATTCGCAAATGCTAGTGAAAGCACAAATGCTTGAGGGTGTTAAGAGGTTATACAGGGTGTCCGCAAAGTATGTATACGCTGTTTGATCGTTAATATCTCTCTTCCCAACAAGTCTTTTGCATTGATTCAGGTACCATTTTGTAGAGCTGGCTTCAGCTTAGATTTACAATATAATATGGAGCGAATCATCTATCGCTCTTCTCTACTGTAGGTTTACGGTATAAACTTCGACAAATTTTAGGCCATTGGAGGCTATATTCTGCCTCGGAACAAGACCAAACAAACCGAAAACTCTTATACTACGGTTGTGGGAGCCGCTGATTTCGATTTCGAAATTCTCATTTTACTGTGATACTTCTTTCCTAAGTTATGCCCGGTAAATTGTAGTAACTCAGTTCCCAGCATTTGTCGTAAGCGTAATTACACCTTCAAAAAAAGCCGAAAACACTTGAAAAGATGTTAGGCGACATCAGCATGCGTGAAAACCCTACTACACGATTTTTCAGATTTTTTGAAGAAAATTTTGTTAGATGGTACATTTCACATTGGTTCCATATGTTGGAAGTTCGTACCGTTATCCTACAGTAATGAAAAGCGACAGATGATTTGCTCCATACTGTAAATCTAAGTTCAAGCCAGCTCTACAAAAACCTGAAGCAAGGCAAAAGACTTGTTGGGAAGGAAGATATTAACGATCAAACAGTGCATACATACTTTACGGGCACCCTGTATAAGCCTTTTCATTGCTGCGACTAAAAAATAATTCGCCAGGGGAGCAAAGAGAAGCTCTGTATCTCTGCGTGCTCTTATCGTCAGCATTGTGCAACTTTTTTTTCCTAAAAAATACCTCTTATTGCAAGCCTTTGTCGTAAACGTGTCTTGGCTGATAACAGAGGTCAAATGTATCATCCTACGGCAATAACTGAAAGGCATACTTATCGACGAGTTTCAGTCACATAAAGTCACTATGATGAAATGGAGATAAGGAGCCCCAATGCAGAGATCAATCTTGAGTATACTTAAAACGAGTTTTATCCTATTTGCAGAGTAGGCTTTGAGAAAGGGAAAAAACCTTGCTTGAAGGCTCCTTACTTCTCAAGCAAGCCACTTCAAAAGAGTAGATGCGTGCTTAATTGCGACTAACTATCACATCGATTACGTAAAGGTAATGCTACTACACTGTACAGCAAAGAGTTATGCCGACGTTTGATTTGGGTCGAGTGATTTATGCGCTGCGCAGGTGACGAATATCGCAATCATCGTAAGGATGCGATGATTGCCTGATTGCTTTATCTACCCGCTTTTCACATACAAATCAGGTTTGCATTAGAAAAATTATATGGAATCGTCACAAAACTCAACAAAACAGTAATGCTCCTCAGGCGATACCATCAGGTTAGTTTTGGGCGCATGTAACGTGCATATCTGAACCCAGAGAACTACTCATGAAACCATAGCTAGATATCCGGATCCATTCTTGGGATGCGCAAGCGACCGGTTGTTTCGCCTGCGACCGTTGTTGTGCGTGATTTGTTTATGAGACTAGAGAGCGTATGTCCTTCCTTCCTACTTCTTTAGTGCTTAGCTATTTTTACTATTTTGAATTAGGGCGCACTCTGTGTAACTTGCTTTGTTACATCTTCCCGATTCGTGTATATTCCAGGATTAAAACAAGTATAAGAAGGCCACCAAAGGTGACATTGTTCGTCATGAGAGTCTTTCATATTTCTTTTTTTTCTTCTGTAAGCTATCCTTGGATTTTCTCCATTCGTCCATGCATTTCAGTCCCTATTGAGAACAAGCCTGGATAAGTCATCTGCAGCGCTATTCATTCCTAGTCCCAGCGTAAGATATTGGCAGTATTACATACCAGTGGCGTACCTAGGATTTCGGCTCCGGGGGGGAGGGGCGACAGAAATTTTTTCCTAATGAAGGTGCGTGGCGTCAGCCACGCACTCCGAAATATTTTTTAGGATGTTTCCCAAAATTTTTCCTGGCTCCTGACCCCAAGGGGGGGGGGCACGCGCGCCTCCCCTCCCCGCCCCCCCCCCCTCGGTACGCCACTGTTACATACCTTACGTAGCAAATCCGAATCCGCCCAGTGACGTAAAGAAACCAACAGCCAACAACCACATGCAACCACATCATCCCTTCCTTTGCTAACATTTCGTGATCGTTCGTAGCCCAAACCAAATGCTTCGCACAATGTAAGAAATGCGCAGATCTGCTCGTAAGGTGTAGTCCTCGTCCTTGCCATCGCATTAGCGGCATTTGCGCGCGGCTTTTTCAACACTTGCGCAGCAGCAGTTTTCTGAGCCTTATAGTGCTGCAAACGTCACTCTGAATTTAGTCTTTCTTACTCATACTTCGCCACTTATATCATACAAGATTTTTTTGTAATTCTATGCTAATTATTCATGGTTCATTACGATACAAAAACCGTGATGACCTGCAGAAGGCATTTTTGATAGTGGACCTATACGTACTTCGGAATCGTTCCACTGGTTAAGATTCACCACTTCTTCCTGCCATGCGGTTCGGTTGGCTTTGCTGGATCCTCTCCTGACTTACGCATAAGGACACCCGGTAGACGAGCCACGGTCTCTTCCACAAGTTCTTCCTTCTTTTCTATCCTTGGTCTTTGGATGGTCAGAGTTAGTATTTAGCCGTCCGTTCGCGTGAAAGTTGAAGACAGAAGTAACAAAAGATTTACCATAGCAAAAGCAAGCCATATTCCCACCTCTTCACCACCTCCATTAGTAGCACATTTGTAGAAGATGTGTGCTTATAGATTATACGAAACATAATAATGTTCGCGCAAAAATTGCACGATCTGTCTAGAACCGAAACTAGTTAGCGATTAGTCATATAAAATCCTATCATATTCATTTGATCAGATGCAAGCCCTTACGCATTTTTCTTCTTTGCAAGCATTAGTAAGCCATTCGATTTGCCCTGAACTACTTAGTGATACTCTTATTTATGTTAGTATAGAGTAGCTGTCTATAGTATCTATCTATCTTGGATCATCTCTTGTCTACGATTCGAGATGACCAGTGCAGTATAACCTACTTATTGATGTTTTTTAACTCTACCACTTGCATCAAGTGTTCTCGATTCCTTTTGTACGAAACCAGCAGCTCAAGGACGAGAGGAACTCAGTCTGCATCATATTTCTACCACCTAGTAATCTTATTATTGTGATCTACAGCGCATGCAGTTTCTACTGCAAGAATATTAGATGATAAAACTTTTGGGAGAACATAAGCTTTGAGTTGCGAGAATTGAGCTCTCATAAGTAATCAAGCACAAAATTCCCTAGACATCTCGCAAGTATCACGACTTCATGGTTCGAAGTTTAAAAACAGATTTTAACCACGGGACGACACTATTTAGTTCATCGCCCTGAAGCGGACTTTGTATAAGACGTAATCAAACTGCATTTGTGTCGTAATTCTCCTAGATTTATTATATCGCAATTTTACGAGATGTTTCATATCATTTTTTGCATCGTTTGTATCATTTTTCTTTCTCAAGGCTCGTCAGAAGTTTTTATTGATCCGTTTACCGAAAATCAGATGATGCTTATGTCATAAAGTGTTTTTCTAAAGGAAAAGATCTCATCGGAATAATGCACATGCTTACTCCACTATCACAGACACTTCAGCTCAATTTTACCGCAAAAAGGAAATGAAAGCGGCTAAAGTAGTGCGCCTTGCCTAATTGGTCCCACATTTCAATTGTCTAATCTCCATATCCAACCTTTTCGTTGACTTAACAAACTAGAGAAAAAGAATTCTTAGCTCTTGCGCGATACAAAACCTTGAGTTTGAATTCATTCTGATCCAAGGTTACTTCCTAAACGGTTTTACTCATCTGAATTATGACGTTTCCCAATGGCCATCAAAAATATTGGGTTGGAAACTAAGTTTTGCAACTGGTCTCATAACTTCCCTCTCACTCAACATGGCGCACTCAAATTTTGCCCCTGCGTTGGTTATTACGTAAGCTACAAGCGCAGCTGATGTCCTCCCAAATTCTGACGTCGCAGTGAGGGTTACGGTAGGTGTATGGTATGAAGGGGAAAAATTCAAAGTTTGACGGTGGTGAAACTTGGCGTAGGGGTGTTATCCGACATGCTGATCACGAAAACGATAGTGAAATTGCGTGATAAGGGCTTTTTTGTAGGATTACTGTGAGTGTACGATGTGGGGTCTCACCCTAAACAAGGGAAAAGGCGTTGATTCAACAAATGAATGTGATATTCGCGTTTGGCAGGTCAAACAACCTTACTATGTAAAGTCTCGGCGGAATTTGAGCTTCGGACTCTTTAGTCGTTGACGGTCGTCACCAGCGGCTCTTGCGTACATCGACTCGTTCGACTTTATGAGGACGCCAAATCTCACCATGCCCTTATATTTTGTTTCTTTCTTAATGGACCAAAGGAGTCAACCTCCAGCAATAATTTGTAGATGAATCCGGATTACTGCGCATGGTCTAGGCTGCCAAAGGCTTTATTTTAGCTTGAAACCCCAAATCTCAAATTTCACTAGTTTTCGAAAAATGCCTAAAACTTCTATTTCGTGTTCAAAATTCAGACAATTTGTGCTCACTTGTAGCTCACATTGCATTCTACATGATGCCAAAGTTTGAGTGCGCCATATCCAAAGAGAGAGTTATGAAACCAGTTGCAAAACTTAGTTTCCAGCCTAATACTTCCTTGTCCGAATCATTCTGCGAACCATGTCTATCGGATACTTTAATTATGATCGAATATGACCGCTCACAAGAATCGTAACATTGACATCATATCCGGCTTGGATGGGCTAATTTCCCGACGGTTTAAGATTGTCTCTATATAACACTCGCCAAAACTTCCATCACTCGTCAATCCTTCCAGATATCGTCCCAAACTAATTTTTTTGTAGATTTCGCAATTCGCCACTTTTGGGCGTATTTGAATGTGCGCCCGTTCGCTGTGCCGGGTTGGTGTGGTCTCAGTTATCATATTTTGCCTCTGGTACTCACTAACTAACTACGGCTCAATTAGGGATAAGCAACACTGCGATAATCTTCCACCTAGCCTATACGTCCATCCGGTGAGAAAGCCATTTACAAGCTCTTATTATGCTTCGAAATATCACGTTCCAGATATATCCCATAGAGTCAACGCCGGTGATAAAACGCGATCCGCGCCCGGCTTTTGCACCGCGTATACGTCTGCTGCCACATACGTTATGCGAATCCAACATTTCCGTGGTGTTCGTAGTCCATTCCGATTTGAAAAACGTTGCTCAGCGTCAATTCCAACGAAAACAACTCGATGACGCTTGGCTGGATCAGGTAAGTGAAATGAACGAGAACTTGTCCGTTTTTAGCACTATTGTTATAGCTCTACGCCAAGCGCATGTTCGTTGTGGGAAGCCCTCCAATACCCGAGACTGGAAGCAAATACGAAGAAGAGGCCAATAAGTACGATGATCTCCTACAGGTGGATACCATTGAACACTACCATAACATTACTTACAAGGTATTATAATAAGTGTATACAGTGTTAGATTACCAAACAGCCTGTTTCGCCTCTACCCCTATACAGGTTAGGGTATATAGTAGACCACTCCCGAGGCTCATCAGTAGGGAAGAGTGGTGATAGCAGTAATACATGGGATTGAGCTGAGGAACTCTATTTATACGCTAAGGGTAGAGCGAAAAGATCAAGAGAAAAGGAGATGAGATCACAATTTCAAAGATCATAGTAGTTTAAGTTTTTGAAACAAAAATTTAACAAATTTTTTTGTGTTTTTGAAAGAATGCAATTCAAGATATTTGGAAGAAATACTTTTGTTAAAGGTTAAGCATTTAATAAGCGCATTAGCTATCATGTTAGGCGAATATTCTAGTACCAACAGTTGATTTATGAGAATAATCAATCGTTCCACAAAATTTTCAAAAATTGTACAGGTTCTGTAGATTCGTAGAATTTCACCATATATGATAGCCGTTTTAATATTGAAACTTATATGAGAATGAGCATGTGTGTACTTGTTTACCTTAAATCGGAAATGATCTGTTTTATTATATTGTTGCGTAATAATTGTATCATTAGTGATTTCAATATGAAGGTCAAGAAAGTTACACTGAAAATCTGTAGGATGGGTGCTCTCTAGTTCCAAGGTGTCATTATATGTGTCCTTCAATATACTAACTATTATAGACTCTTCTTGATTATGAATAACTAAAAGGTCGTCCATGTATCTGAATGGTTTAAATAGAATGTTTGTTTTGGGGTAACTGATAGCATATTTATATTCTAAATATGTCAAAGTGAGGTCTGCTATTACGGGGCTTGCGTTACCTCCTTGCGGTACACCCACTTTCTGTTTGAAAACATGGTTACCAATTTTACTATAACTGTTTTCAATAAGATATTGCGTCATGTATACTAGGTCTTCAATTTTGTAGTTCCTTTGAGTTGGTTTATCCACTGGGGTATTGCAGTAGTAAACTTTACTGTTAGTACAAGTGATATATTTACAGCTGCTATTTTTCAGACAAATTTTAAGAATGTTTGTTAGATTTTTCAGAATAACATTGTGGGGTATGTTGGTAAACATGTTAGTGAAATCCGCTGAATAAAGCTTAAGATGCTTGCTATGTATATTCTGTAGTTCGTAGGAGATATTTATATCATCTATGGACCAGTAGGTTTCTAGGCACCTTTTATTGAGATAAACAACTCTAGCATATTTTTTGAAATGAGTTCTAATGAATGTAAGAATTCGAGTCAATTCTATTGACAATGGTTTTATGCTGCTGCTAAAAGCTCCGGTAATAAATCTAAATTTGACAGGATTTTTATGGAATTTGGGAATACAGTAGATATTGGGAATGACTGGATTTTCAGATTTTTTCAGCTTGAGATTATCAATAAAACTAAGGTGCCTATCGACAATGTTTTGGGTATCTATAGTTCCCAGATAATTATATATAGATAAACTATTTGTATTATTGTTCACACTCATTTCTTCAATCAAAATATTAAGGTATAGTTTTTTACAAATTATGCCATAGTTAGAGTTAGCTTTATCTAGTGGACAAAAAATAAAGAATTTCTGTAAATATCTTAAATTTGTTACTGGAAAATTGCTATCTTTCAGGTAATTGTTAGAGAAAAGCAACCTGTAACGAGATTTATCAAAAGATCTACATAAGGTATCATAAATATAATGAGTTAATTCGTTTGTTAAGGCATGTCTACTTTTATGTTTATTACTGATGGTCTTAAAAAGATCTAACCAGAAGATTTTGATTTGGCTAGCAGAATAGTATGGACTGTACCGGAACTTAGTACCTTTGAGCAAAACCTTATGGATAGGTTCATTTTTGAAAACATCGACATCACCTGTAACTATGTGCTTATATGTAGGATCTATAAATTTCTTGTAATTACAGCAGATACAAGGGACTTTACTGATGTCAAGGTCTGTAAGACTACGAAGGAACTTATTGTAATTATAAATGTAACTAGATATTTGCTTGGGATACTGATAAATTAACCTAATAGGCAAGTATGGCTTATAACTGTTTCTTTCAATCAGGTTTTTAATCATGTGATTATTGATCATCTTGTTGGTATTAGTTTTATCAAGAATATTACTATAAAAAGGAAATTTCACATTAATGTAATTGGATTTAGGTGACGTACTTTTTTCTTCCCGAAAGTGATAGTAGCAAAGAATACCACATAGGACTTCTACATACTTTTTGGGTATGCGTAATGACGAAGTTTTGAAAGTTATTATATTGATCAAAGAAGAAATGTATTTTTTATTTTTACTTTTGATCAGTTTATAGATATCATAATATTTGGGTTTATCGGCGATGAAATCTTGAATTTCAGCAATTATCGTATCAACATTAGTTTCAGCTTTTTTCCGTACACTTTTTTTATTGTAGCCACGATTGTGTCTTTGTTTAGTAATTTTCAAATTGAAGAAAGGGTGATTACTTTTATAACTAAGTGTATTACCAACATTAGTAAGATTACCGTAGCCTTTTATATTATCATTGAATCCAAAAGGTGTGGGTGTCATCAGTAATTTAATCCAGAAAAGTTCTTTATTTCTAAGTATATTAGGATCTGCGTTTTCTGGGGAGTTATCTAAAATGATGGCTTTGAAATTTTGTGAAATACAATTACCTATACAGTAATGCTTGTATAAAAGTTTGTTGTCTTGTTTATTTTTAATGCCTCTTAGGTGTTCATTTATTCTAATATGTAGTTTCCTAGTGGTGATTCCCACATATTGAAAGCCACATGTACAACATGAAAGACAATAAACTACATTTTTTGATTGGCAATTAGCAATTGAATTTTTGTATGTTTTGATACGTAAGTTAGTAATTTTTGATCGTAAATAATTATCATGGATCATTACGTTGTTACATATAACACAAGATGGTTTGCAATTAGTGCCCTCATTATCATTGCCAAAATTTTGTAGGTTGTATTCGCCATCTACCTTACTCCTAATGAAAGAAGAACCCTGAAAGTAAGAAGAAGAAGTGTGAATGCTAAGTGTACTTTGTTTATTTTTAAGCCTAGTATCTAAGATAAAGAATGGCTTGATCCCTTACCAGAGGGAAGGTTACTTAAAAAGTTTTGGAAGGACTGCTCCCAGGGGTTGGCGCTCCCTAAAGAAGTAATACACCGGAGGCGCAGTACTTACCCTCCCATGCCAGTAGCTACTTGTAGAACCCCGTCGGTAGTATTACTGGAGAAAAAATGAAAAAAGAACTAAAACTAAACTAACCTTGTATGTAAGGTAACAACCTGTCCCCTTATGTTAGTTTGTATGTGTTATCTTCAATATTATTGATCAATAGGGCGCAGCTATTATATGGGCTTATAACTTGTAATTTAGTCAATATATGTAAAGATGCTATAATGAGAAATTGGAAATATGCCATACGGTAAATCGCTACGAAAAAGTCCTTTAAAGATTTACGTACTTTTTAGGCCGTTTTTGGGCTAATAGTTTCATTTTTAGTTTTGTCTTTCTTTGTACTAGTTGTTCTCACTATGCAACTTTTGGTATGATCGAAAGTAATGTTGCAGCCATGGATCTCGAAGAACGAAAAGAGCGTTTTGCGGAAGCACTCAATAGTCGTGTGCTTGCGGAGTACATAAAGGTTGTGAATATTCCGATTTCAATGCGGAAAGACTTCGATCAGATGTTGGAGGATATTCTGAAGTTGTTAGGGTAAGTATCCTTAAGTATGCAATATCAAAAGTTTATATTGTTTAGTTACGATAGAGATGATGATCGTCATCCTCTTACGTGGCCTAGGCCATGTGGAATAGGCGCCTCTACGATGGGAATAATGGTGAGTGAAATTCTGTGGAATTATTTTTAGATAATAGCAGTATGTTTATTTTTACAAATTGAAGTGTTACTAACTTACTTTACAGGCTAAAACCTCGTACACCTTTTGGAAGTGGTACACGACAAATGGTAAGGACGTTTTGCGTAAGTATAACCTCGATCATGGGACAAAGATGATGATTTTGCAAGAAAAGACGATCCGTCAAACCGATCTCAATCGACTTTGGTAAGTCTAAGAGTTATTCAGTGTGATTGTGATTGTGAATTGCACCGTAACCTTGTGATTGTAAACTATATTTTCTGTTTAGTCTAATGCTCCGGATGCAGATACGCTCTTGTTACGAAAGAGTGCATAAAACTGTGCCAGACATTAGAATTAGGAAAGAAAAGGTGGAAATCAAGGGCGTCGGTATGGTAGGTAGATTCCTGTATATTGTAAATGTATTGATGATAGTTTTTGAAGTTTGATCCTGTTATTCTATGCCGAAGATTAGGTTGGAAATTGCCTTCTTGGCACGGCACCCCCATAAACGATCTATTGGACCTACGACTGAAAAAGGAAGAGGAGGTTAAGTGCATTTATCGATTTTCATGATATCTATATATACATATCGATTTTAGGCGGGTACGCTCATAATAGGAGAACTAGTTCTTCCTGGTCTATCGTTGGAGGACCAAAAGGAGGATAATGAAGTAATTCAACCAATGGACCAAGAAGCGGTATCACCAGCGCAGGCTGCCAATAAGGAAAACTATGCCGAAGTGGTAAGTCTGTATTATTTTGAACTCTATTGTCTAATTATGTTGATCTATTCGTTTGCATTTCAAGGTGAAAAGGAAGAAACGCCCTTCGAATGGATCTGAATCTGCAGCACCTAAGAAAATCAAGAAGGTATGATGAAATAATGTAACATGAAATCCTTAGCTAAGAAGATTTATTTAGGTTGCTCTACAGAGTAGTTCAATGCCAGGACCAAGCGGACTTAGGGGCTAGTTCAGTGTTTAGCTTAGTGTTCCATTTTTTCAAGTTTTGATTTAGCATTCTTCTATTTTTATCTTGTGTTGGTGTTCACTTGATCTGAATCCGTTACCGGTAATCTATTGACTGGTATCTGAACACATTGTATCGAAATACTACCGGTATTGTTTTGTCTTATCTGAACATATCAGATCGATATCACTATCGATATCAATGTGTTCCTTTTGAATCAGTCAGTGATCATATGGAAGATCAATTAACAACGTTTTATCCGTTTCTAAACTTGGAACTCTCCAGAATTGATGCATTTCTTTTGACAGTTCAATCATGAAGGTCAATAGTGTTCCGAAGGTAGTCCTAAGCTGTTTTCAGCTAGTGAGTTTTCTTCTGAACACAATTGCAATGAAAGCTGTGTCAGTTTTAGCGTTGAATTGCAAGTCAAAAACTATACCAGTCTAGCATTATTGTTTGTTATCAATACCTTTCTGATTTTTAGCAATGAATGGTATGATAATAAATTTGCAATGCTGGTGTATGTTTTGAAAAGTCTCTTACTCTAAATCTGATGTGAAAAAGGGACTAAGTTTCATGAATTGGTACCCTTTCTGCTATCGGTTTTGATGTCAGATGTCCTATAAGGCATTAGAAAGATCGTGACGATGGCGCGACCGCGCGCAATACGTACGCAAGCACCGGAAATTTTGCATTTTCTTGATTTTCATCTTTAGTGAAATGTTTTTTGCTTACGCGTAACAATATTTAGACACTAGAAGTGACAGAGCTAAACCTTGAAGTAATTCCATTCTTGTATGAACGTTTTATGCGCATGTGGGCGCAACGTCCGCAGTAAATTCCGTCGTCATGATTTCATAAATGAACTATACTGGGTAAACGAATTGTAAATTCGAATATAATGATGTAAAATTGCTGCGTAGTGTACTCTACATGTACGTAAAGAAAATTAGCATAATTGTCTTAGATAAACAAAACGAATGCGCTTATTATATATAAAATCAATATTGACAACAATTATGAGAATGCTATCTGTTGATAGCTGACCAGTTGGCCTGAATGTGCCAGTTGGCACAATAGTATAAATAAACGGGATACTTTAAGTGATTCAGTTTTAAGGGAAACAGAATCCCGACTAGGATTACCATACCTCCTGGGTTGCCCTCAAGGGGGTAAGAAATCCTAGTATTGGTAAATAAGTGTATACAGTGTTAGATTACCAAACAGCCTGTTTCGCCTCTACCCCTATACAGGTTAGGGTATATAGTAGACCACTCCCGAGGCTCATCAGTAGGGAAGAGTGGTGATAGCAGTAATACATGGGATTGAGCTGAGGAACTCTATTTATACGCTAAGGGTAGAGCGAAAAGATCAAGAGAAAAGGAGATGAGATCACAATTTCAAAGATCATAGTAGTTTAAGTTTTTGAAACAAAAATTTAACAAATTTTTTTGTGTTTTTGAAAGAATGCAATTCAAGATATTTGGAAGAAATACTTTTGTTAAAGGTTAAGCATTTAATAAGCGCATTAGCTATCATGTTAGGCGAATATTCTAGTACCAACAGTTGATTTATGAGAATAATCAATCGTTCCACAAAATTTTCAAAAATTGTACAGGTTCTGTAGATTCGTAGAATTTCACCATATATGATAGCCGTTTTAATATTGAAACTTATATGAGAATGAGCATGTGTGTACTTGTTTACCTTAAATCGGAAATGATCTGTTTTATTATATTGTTGCGTAATAATTGTATCATTAGTGATTTCAATATGAAGGTCAAGAAAGTTACACTGAAAATCTGTAGGATGGGTGCTCTCTAGTTCCAAGGTGTCATTATATGTGTCCTTCAATATACTAACTATTATAGACTCTTCTTGATTATGAATAACTAAAAGGTCGTCCATGTATCTGAATGGTTTAAATAGAATGTTTGTTTTGGGGTAACTGATAGCATATTTATATTCTAAATATGTCAAAGTGAGGTCTGCTATTACGGGGCTTGCTGTAGTCCTAGCAGAAACCGTACTCAAAATTTAGGCCCAAGCATGGATTCAACTTCTAACAACATGTCCGCATCCTCCGAAATTTATCATCAAGATTGACGATGATGTTATGATAGATAGGATAGGAGTTCAATATTTAATCAACAGGTTTGCAAAATTTCGTTTATAAAGGAAAAAACATGCGGTAGACACTACGTGCAAAACCTAAGCGCAGCACATCCCACTCTTGTACCAGCCGTATCTTAGGACCCGTACGCCCAGTACAAGATGGGGGCGGGGCATCTGTTCGAGCGCAAAATTTAAAACTGTCGCCTTCCACGCTCAACAACAAAAAAACAGTGTTTTTTTTGATCAGTAGATCAATATTGCAAGACTTTGCTTCTGTTTATTTCAGGTACAGTAGCTCAAAGCGAGTTCTTGGCTGTCGAGTGCTAACTCATGGAAGCGTGGTGAGAAATCCCAAATCAAAATGGTTTGTTGCTTTACATAAATATCACGATTTCTCTCATAGATCTCTTTTCTAGGTACTTATCTCACGAGGAGTATAGTGGTAATGATCTCGGCACCTATTGTCAAGGCATGGCCTATGTATTTAGCGCCGATCAACTGTTACAAATGCGTGACAACATATCGCGGGTACAATTTCTTTGGGTGAGTTATCACGCTAGAAAATAAGGGAGAGAAATGAGAAAGGAAGGAGGGAGAAAATACGGGGAGACCACTGTTATAAGATGCATGATGTAGATGTATTGATTACTCTCATATGTCTATTGTGATTTACTGTAGCCATTCTGTGATTGGTCGATCGCAGCGGATACTGATTGGTCGATCTTACTAAATCTAATTTTCTAGATGGACGACTGGTATGTCACCAGAGCACTCCTTTCCGGTTCAAATACTACTCTACTAGACCTAAGCGACCATTACTGTTCCACTAATTCGGAAGAGGAACTGAATACAGCGTTTGAGGCAAGAAAAAGACCTCAAAACGGCTCATTTTTGCACATTTCAGACCCGCAAACAGGTGCGTTTTTTAGATTCATGGTGTTAATCTAAAATAACAAATACAATTCAGATTCCCAATCGAACGTTCAGTTCAAATATGGAATGAACTCATATCTCTCAATAACATATGTCTCTGATGCAATGCGGCATCTGTGCTTCATGCTCTTTCTGTACATAACTGTTCACATAAACGATACGAAGATGAAGCGATGAATGTTCTCCTCTTAGTTAAATTCTTCTAAAAGCAAATAAAAGACAAGCATTTGATGCGGGAACTAGGGAGTGCGATAAGAGAAGACTAATCTCCTGCTGAGTTAACTTTTCTTAATACGGAAAGTTCTGATTACTACTGGAAAATGGACTCAAAAGCCTCACAATGAACGGCTACTTCCTCTACATATATAATCCAGAGTAACTGGTTGCAAAATGTAGAAAATAGTCTCAGTATCAAAAGAAGTTATCATGATGGTACTTTTTGAAATTTCTCCCACCCGAATCACCCAAAACCAAGATCGCTAAGCTTTCCATATGTACAGAGCTTCAAAGCTGATTGGTACAACGGGAGGACAAATGTAGTCCAAGAAGAACCATCTTCCGTTGAAAGGCCACATATCCTTCACAAATGTCCGATTCGGCTAGTTTATCTTATTTTTGACCAAATATGCTCACTCACAAATCAAGTTTCGCATGGAATTCATCTAGGCTCGATTGAACAGATTGCGAAGTCTGCTTGCCCAACAACCACCAAGTAAATCAAGACAAAGCAACTTCGGTGAAGAAATAGAATGGACGATTTAGAAAATGCCATTTATTGATGATACGAAAAAACATCAATGCAGTGAGGTCAACTTCATCAATAGATCGATGCGTAGATCAAAGATATGATGATTGCAAGGTGGTAAGCGGTAGATATACTGTGATATGTAATAAATCTGTTCGACATCCTTTCTAGGATATTGAGAGTATAATCTACAATTTTTTATGGCAATATGAGTGTAAAGATATCGAAAATATGGTAGAGGATATGGTAGAACACTTCATGGTGAGCACTGGAAAATAAGAATGCGATGATTCTGCTTCACATCCAACCTGAAGAAGACTTTGAAATATATGTCAAACATGGCTTTTTACACAAAAAACTCACCCATAAGACTTTTTGCCGCCTCAAAATAAAAATAAGAGCATAGCACAGCACAATAACGCAAATGGATAGGCTGTGATATCTAGTGAAGAAGCTTGTTTCTAAATTATGAGAATGTTAAACATGCTTTCTAAGGTAAAAAACTTACTCAGGTATTCATGATCTTTGTCAAGATAATAGGAAAGATACGGTAAGATAATGTACGGTTAATATGGTAGATATGCTGTAGATGTAGAAAAACTGCTAAACTGCTCGACTTCCTTTCTGAAAATCGAAAGCCAAATACATGAAATCGTGAGACCTTTCTTAGAAGCTCACCTAGACAGAGTTCTGTACACTGTCAAAACATTGGCTGAGTTTTAGAGAGCTGATTATCGCACCTTGATCCGATGCCCATTTAAAAATACGCTCCCATGCTTCAAGATGCGATAATGCTTCCATGCTTCCAAGAACAAACTCACCCTGACGACATCGAGTCAGGGCCACATTGATTCGTCGAAATTCGCCCAAAAATCCGCCACCAACAGCACGGATATCAGTTCTTGTCGTGAGCACAATGGTTACTTCCTTTTCTCTTCCCATGACAGCTTCAACAGTAGCGAGTTCGACACCCAGCTCTTTTGCCTTGGCCTGGAGGCGACGCCACTGTTCCTTATAGAAACAGATGATGCATATATCACTTGGAGCGATTCTTTTCCCGATTAGGTAATCGACAATCTCCCAACAGCAGTTAGCTTCTTCCTCGTTGTAGTAGGACTTCGATACTTGCGTAGAAGAGGACGGGACGTTGACAAACATAAATGGAAGAGAAGGGTTTGGAAAGTTCACTACGCTCGTCAGCATTCGCCGATCCTCAGCTTTGACTGCACTAACCAAGCCTTCAGTATGAGCCAGGCAGTCAAGTAGCCCAGTGAGGGCGGGACGGAGTCTGTGTGTCGTTAGTAGAGCCACCTCTGGTACCGCTCTCGCATTCCGCAGAACCTTCAGTAAACTTTTAGCTCCAAATTCGGCTATGTTAGACGTTCTCGACACCCCATGGGGTAAGTGTGGTTCCAGCTGATCCGAATCACCGATGTAAATATGGCGAGCGTTCGGGAGTCGAGCAGCAGTGGCCATCAAAAATGGCTCAATTATCTGGGATGCACCATCACCTATCAGCAGCGTGAATTTCTCCTTGTGATCTCTGAAAATCCCTTCAGGAGCGGTGGTCAGTAGCAGAGACGAGGTGGTGATGCAGATAATGCGTGGTTTCACCAGGCGAAACATAAGATGAAGAATTTTCCGCATATTCTTTGACACATACTCTTCCGAAATAATATACTCTTCCTTTTCTTCTTCAGCCATAAACAGCGCCACATCAGGATCTTGCAGATACTCCTTCAAAACCATCCTTTCCCGCTTAAAGGTGCGACACATTTCGAGCTCCCTGGCAGAAAGTTGATTAGAATAGAGGTCGCCAAGATTTTCCAGAACAAAATCGAGGTCCACTTGAGTCGAGGCGTTATTTTCCACCTTAGCTGTGTCCGAGACATATCGCACGATTCCCAAATCCTGAAGACCATCAATGGAGAGAATAGCCTCTGTTATCTGAGCGACGGCATAATTGTTGTCAGCCGTGACCACCACAGTATCCCCTCTTTCTACAGAGCATGTTGCTATGAGGGCTCCGAGCAAGGTTTTTCCTGTACCATATGGACCATAAATGGCCGCGAGCGGATACTGACCAAGTCCCAACTCAAGCGCTTTGCACTGATCCGGGCTAAATTCCACATTCCTGCCTTTGATGGAGCAGTGATAGATTCTTGGCATATCCGGATTCAAATGAATGGAGGCCATAGCATTCGTCACTTGCGCAAGGAGAGAGGTTCTTCCGGAGTCGACCGTTTCCTGGTCAGAGTTTCGCGACGACGAAGTCGACGACATCGTGAAGTTACCGACTCAGAATCTGTAGGTAAGCTGCTCTGGAAATAGACTTTAGTACCAATTCGTTGAGGTCACTGAACTTTATGATGAAATTCTGCTCGGAATACTCAACATACCTCGAGATTTCTTAAGAAATTTGGCTCAAAAAACTGCAGCAATTCGATTGCAGTGAAGATTATTTCAGCTCTCGTTCTGAAAAGAAATTTTTAGTGGATGATATATCTTCCCAAAAGCAGATAAACAAAATATGCCGAATGAAAATGATACAGCATCAAAGTTCTGAGATGCGTTTGCTTGATAAGACGGAGAATGAAAAGAAACTGACGAAGAATGCGAGAAGAGTCATGCAGCTGCACCAGATGTGATAAATAGTCATATGAGAAGTTAAAAGTCCGACTACTCTCGTTATTTGACAATACGAACAAAAAAAGCCACAACATGTCCATAAATATTTCCTGCCGATGTGATGATAAAGATAGCAAATGGTGTAAATTATAGCATTCGAAAAACAAACTGGAGAGATGATACAAATTAACAGTTCTTTCTTGGAATGATATAAAATCATTAATCAGATCTTTGCCCTGCAGATTACCTAAAAAAAAACATACAGTTTAATTCCCTAATTTTCTATGGTTTTCGATTTTCTAGGTTTGTTTTTCTTAGTAGCTATATTACCCGGTAGCACTTTGTACAAAAATTGCAGCTCTAGACATCTTCGAAGTGCAGGCAAACTTTCTATAAGCTCCTGCAAGACGAAGGCGGTTGGTTCGAGGCGCGACGTGGCTGTGACGCGGCTGTGACGCTGCTGTGACGCAGCCATGTCGCAGCCGCGTTGCACATTGAACCGACCGCCTTCGTCTTGCAGGGGCTTATAATTATCTCATTCACACCATTTTTTAGATCAAATAGCTCGAATCAATTACCAAATAGAAGAACAGACAATTCTGATTCAAAAGCACCATGCTCATTATTTCTATGAAACACAGACGGATATAAGGCTTCGAAAGCAAACCATGTCTCTACGGCTGGTGCTAAACGGACACACTCCGACCTGCGTGATTCAAAGAGAGATTACTGTATTTAACCAGTACCAGAGGCTAAGCTAAAAAGAAATATATCGAGGATAAAACACAAATATCAATGATGACAGATGAATCAGTTCCTCGCTAAGCGTGTGGAGAAGATCCAAGGAAAGCAGTTGGAACTGTTTTGCAATGTCAGACGCACTTTTGCTCCGCCCCCACAAAGGCGCATCGTGAAGCTGGAGCGTTTGAATACGCTTACGAAATGTTCGAGCGGTGTGTGTTGGTGTCTGGAAAGCAATACTTCCAATCCATCGAGGGTGTACCCGTGTGCCAAGAGAAGGTATATATCTGTCACGTATACTCACGCCCCAAATTCTACCTCATTTGGTGCAATTGCACGAAACTTACCTAGTTCTCACGGTTTCATCAATACCTGACGATGGGTGGCTATACCTGGCGCTGTGTCGCTTCCAGCAGCAACACTTTTTGTGCATATCGATTGCAGCGAAGAAACGCTGCCGCTGCTGCAGCCAGCGCAATACGGACCCGTTAGCGATGCTGTGCTACTCTTCGCTGCTCACTACGCGATGTAAAGCTCTTTTTTCGTGAGCTTTTCCAGCTGCTCCAATCTGATATCAACTGGTTTGGCTCGGATTTGCCAATTTTTGCTAATTTTTGTGTTTTTAGAAGATCTAGAGCTTGTTGCGATACTGATGTAAGACAAACTTGCGAGGTTATCGAAAAGGCAAATGCATAAGAATGAGAGAATCTGAACAAGAGCAAGCGCATAGAATAAAATGGAGTAACATGACAGCTAGAGGCAGCTATTTATGAACGAAAATAGTGGCATAGGACTTCTAAAATCCAATTGCCCACGCGTCGCTTTGAACACCAACGCGCGCGGCGGCGAGGAACGTTGGGTCCCAAAGCGCTTTAGTCTTGCACTGCTTTATACAATTTTTATAAGCTTTTGAAGGACGTTTTCTTTAGAATGTACCTTACATTGTTGAAAACGACATGGAAGTTGACGGAAAATTTCTTTAAAAATAGTGAAAGCCAAAGTTGTTCGCGGTGACGACCGTTCGCATACGCTGGTGTTCATGGCAATACGCGAGCGATTAGGTATCACAACGCCTATACCCTTTGCTTCAACCAATCGGCGGCTGAAAGGCGGGACTCCGTAACCTAATTTAGGGTAGAAAATGATCAGAGAGCATGTTCGCGAGGGTGGCGCAGACTGCTCGCGGACGCGAGCAGTCGCCTCCTAGGTCATGAAGCCCCGCCTTCCAGCAGCCAATCTGGTTGAAGCAAAGGGTATGCGGCAGCCCATCAAGCAGTCAATAGACCTAGATTGTTGTCTCAAGCGCATCTAAGGGTCATGCTGTGACATTACCTTGATATCTGTCAAACTATTGTCCTGCAGTAAATGCAGCGTTTAGTTGGCCGCTGTTATGCTCAATACAAAAAAAAATTCTTCAATGGGAACAGCATAATAGTTCGCATAAATCATAAGTTCCAGTTATTGGTTTATACAACTCATTTTTCTCCTGATCTAGATAAGCTTAAAGTGTAAGGATACTTTGCTCCACTCTGCACCCATGCGCAGCAGCTTCAAGCAGCTAGAAGCAGCAGAGACAGTAGCGATTCGCTAGACCCGCTATACCTTCGTCGTCAGGTATGATCGGCTCCCGATTTGTGCGGAGGCGGGTTCCGGTCTTCCCTGATTATAAGAATAAGTAAATGAGAGAGTACGAAAAACAATACTGTAACGTGGAGGTCAAACAAGTTTATTCTTATAATCAGGGAAAATCCGCAATCCGACTCCACACGAATCTGGGAACTGACGATATTTCTAGTGTCTAAATCCTCCTGGCTCCATGAACAAAAAGCTGAAGATCAAGAACCAACAGAAAATTGTGGTAATGCACTAGTAACAACATCCATCTTCGGTGACATCAAAATGATCTTGGTGAGTGTAGAGGTTGTTCCAAGTGTCCGCGAGACCCTCTTTTAGGAACAGAAATTGAGTCTATTTTGTATTCCTTGAAAATTACGAATGGGCACAGAACATCGGAATGGTATTAAAAGCATTTATTATAAGGTTAATGACATGATTCATCAAATTAACCCAGGTCTCACTTTTCAATGAACCATCATAGAAAAAAAAATAAAACAGCTTCATTGATAGTTCACACATCTAGTATCACATTGAGATAGGATGCTACACTATAGAAACAGATATTGATTAAACGTAACGCACATATGAAAAAGGGAGAAAAGATCAAAACTGAAGAAACTGAAAGCAAAGTGTGAACAGAAACTGAGCAGTACTACTATACTATGTACACAATGAAAACACGCTCACTTAGCATGCTTTTCGGGAGAAACTGTTTTCAAAGAAACAAGGACAAATTGACTTCTGTGGTGCTGATCAAGAAAAATAAAATCTTCAAAAATAAAAACTTTGAAACTATATATCCGGGAAAAAACGATAACGTCGTTATAACAACGGTACAATATGTTCCTTACTTTCACCAGTGCTAAAAAGCTGCGGCTCTCCCCCCTCGCCTTCTTCTGGTTCTTCTTCTTTGACCCTCTTAGATATACCCAATTCAGCTCCAACTCGAACTCAAAATATATGATAACAACATTTCCTTCAGTAGAAATATCAAAGACTCACCCATGACTGTTCGAGGATGCAATGCCGATGCAGGTCTGAGATGCGACACCGGCACTAACCGAAATGAGGATTTCTCCGACTCGTTTTTTAGCGGAGGAAGGGGTAGCCTCCTTACGCCGCGCATTGGCCGAGTTCGACCCGTAGCGACAGCCAAAAACGTTGGCGGTCGATTTGGAGCTGCATAGTCTACAAGAGCAAGTTTTAGATACAAAAAAATTCACAGGTATAGGTATAAGTAAATTTCACACATTTGAGATTCATATCGCTGTACGTCTTCGTGCTGGTGCTAGGAGCCATTGGTACAAGTTCTGGAGGCATATCGGCAGGATCAGCTGATAATGGAGGTCTCAGAGCCCTATTTTTGCACAATGAAGTACAAGACAGTCTCACCTTCAACTTCTTCTGTTTTTACTCGCACCTCGTTATTAAGACTGGCTAGCGCCGATGCGATTGTTTCCTGATTTTCGGCAGGTATGGGACTGAAAGCCCTCAACTTCGGTGGCATATCTTTGATAACTTCCGCTTTTAATGTTGGAGGCAATTCCGCGTCTTCTCCTGTATTCCAAAAATTACAACATGAAAAGACTAAGCTAAAAACAAATACAAAATTTCATTTGGTAAAACTGCGTTATAAACACAAATCACCTTTTTCAGTAGCAGAGGAGTCACTTTGGTTTGTACTGTCGTTTTTTGAAAGCAGATCTGATGCGCTCTCACCTTCTAAAATATATAAGATCACCATTCTGCATTGATGAATCGTGGGTCTCTTTTTATAGATAAAGCAACACTTTACAGAAAAAGAAAAATGATGCCATGTTTCCTTCCAACATCATAGCAAAAATATGATATGCTCAGCTAGAGTCGAGTTTGTAAGAACAAGCAGAGACGACATCAATGTTCGCGCATATATACTCGTACTCCTGGCAATTGCAACCTTACCATCTCGCAATCAAAAAGAATAGTATAAGAGAGCGAGACTGAAGAAAAAAGAAAATGCTGGAAGAAAAAACTACCGCACCTTCCATTTTCTCATCGTTTACTTCTTTATCCAGCGATGGAGGAGGATCGGAGAGGTTTACCTAAAAAATGTTTTAGCAGAAAAGAAGGGGATTCGAAAAACACGACGATAAAATACACAGAATCTTTCAATATGGAAAATCAACAGATCAAAAGGCAATAACAGAGAAGATATAATCCTTACGTGTTTCCTCCTTTTTGTAGTTGTGCCGTGGCCGTTTTCATCTCCCAGTGCTTCATTTCCAGCACGAAATCTGCCATACCATTTGAAGACTGATAGTCTTGATATGGCTCCGGCACCATAGGCTTTGTTTATATTCTCGAAAGCTGTACGTGCATCGTGTTCAAGCTTGTATTCGTAGAGTACGCAGACACGTACTCGCATATCCAGAAACATTCTGGAATCGGACTTCGAATGTGTTAATATGCCAGATATTAGTAGCCTTCAATTGAGGAAGTATCGAAGTAGACACTGTATAGCTAGAGCCTTATCGTAAGATGGATGAAGGAAGTCGCAAATGAAGCAAAAATCAAACCGACATATTCAATAAATCAACAAGAAGATTAGAAGAAAAGGGACATAAAATTAAACAAAGTAAGTACACTGCCGACTGAATTTCAAACATAAATATACTATTACAAGCTTTGTAGAATTACTCCATCACGAAAACCACTAAAATCTTTGTTTCTATGTGCCAAACGTCCATTTCTCACACGATAAAACAATGATCAAAAGAACGAACTTGACCGAGTTCCAACATAAATAACATGAAAATCAAAAATTACAAAAAGAACTTACAAGACCAAGATTCAACGGAATACCGTCCCGTCCGTACCTGCTTGTGAGACTCTCCGATCGATAGCGCACTCGCCGTCCGTAATCGCACTTTCACATGCAATACCGTACCCTTACAGCTGTGCCAAATGGCTAACCTCAAAATGATGGCTATCATGGCGCTGGAGGAATAGCGTAGTGGAGATCTGAATAGAGATTTGAAAGTGTGAATTGGAAAGAAGGTGGTTTCTATGAGTAAAAATAGCGAAAGATTGGAAGAGTGCCATCGTGGGAGTCCCAAGCAGAGTGGAACAGAGTGGGATTTTCTTGTTCAACTTGACGTTCGTTGGATGAGAATATCGCAACTGGCATTTATACTTCACTATGCTTCGGCAAAGCATATCGTCGTGGTACCTATGAGGACCATTTTGGGGAAACCGTACGTGCTAGACTGATGCAGATTTTTTCCCCGTAATTTTTCACTTTGCGGTCATAACTCCTTCCAAAGCCAGTATTTTCCCTCTGCCGGGACAGCTACCATGCAGTTTATATAGCAACGCTCAGGTAATAGTCACGGTTCTACAAAACGAGACTCAATTTATTTAAACAAGATCCTGAAGGTTACTAAAGTTAGGGATCGCTGGTACATGATAAATGTGTAAATGCACCAAGAAGTGTCCAACTATAGAGATTCTGTGTATGCGTCCTTCATCCTTCTATTTTATGTGTATTTGTGAAATTGTGTAGGGAGCATAGACCATAGATGTGGCAAGTGGTCCTTGTATATAAGTAAGATAAGATATGGAAAACCAGCCCTGTCCAACTTTCTGTGATAGTGGCTTCAAACTCAAAAAGAAATGAATACAATATATGGGAAACCAATGAAGACCCTCAATAATTCCTTGAAAACCATTTCTACTTCATCAATTATTTGCAGCATTAAAAATGGTTCGTCTTTTCAAGAACTGAATTCTCACACACCAATCTTCCATTCCAATTGGAACTCGGATGTTCAGTCCTAGTTGTTATATATAATGCTAGCGCAATCGTTATTCTATTTTTGCTTAATTTTGTAGCTTCTCCAGAAGGGATCCCAAACGCTTGGAAATGTAAGAACGCAAATCCAAAAATCGCTATTGTGGAGGAATTTTGAAACATTTTCAGCAAATTTCGCGTGAGCACATCCGCCAGATATTCAAGCACCTTTACAACAATTTATTTTTAACACACCTATGCAAAAGCTCAAAGGGCTAAACATACTCTCTTTGCTGGTTTACGAAGATCTCCTAAGATCTTTGGATTAATTAGCAGGACTCACGTCACAACGTCAAAAACGCTCAATTTCATTATTGTTGATGGTTTTTCATTTTCAGCAAAACGTGTGCTCCCTCCTTTAGAGAATTTGATTGCTTTCCCTCTCAGTTTGACAGCAGTCCACAATAAGGCTTGGCTCCAGAGATGACGAATAGGATTGAGGCTTCATTTTTCTCTTCAATTATGTGATTGCTTCCGGACTTCTTTATCAATTTTCTTATTTTCCAATTTCGGTGATGCTCTGGTGGGAAAGCTGTGCTAAGGCATTTAACCGCGCTAGAGTGATTCATAACCTTGCTAGGAGGTTATTGACCATGCACCTAGAGAAAACACTATAAATTTCCAGAGCTTTCATCACAGCCTCTGCACATCAATACCCAGCTCTTCAATTCAGTCATTTCTAAGCTTTTATGAACTAACCAGCCGTAGTACATACTTTCCATGTAATTATTGTCCATGTTTATATCTAGCGTTTTTATCGAAGTTTATTTTCTCATTTTTCTTCGTTTCATAGGCCAAAGCCGTGTCAAGCTCATTACTACTTTATTTTTCTCAATCTATGTCAGATTCTTCCCTTCCACTTCATCGCTTTCAATGGCCTGAAAATGAGAAGCTCTCAACAAAAGGAAATACAGGATAACTAGGAAATAAGGCAGCTAATGCCTTCCTGCACCGAGATTTTGTGCGGGCGCTTTCCTTCTTTCCTTCTTTCAATTGAAAAATGAGAAGAAAATAGTTTCTGAATTTTCTCGCTTCGACCATTGGTAGCAGACCACATTTGTTTCGTCTTCTCATGTTTCAATTGCCAGTCTTTTGAGACTGACTTCCGCGACAAAGCCTATTTTGCCTTCCAGAAAATTCAGAAGCTTTACTCCTTGAATACGAACTAGTACAATCACAAAATCAAGCATGACTAGCCCTCCTTGAACGACTGCACTTCGCAAAATAACAACTTAAGCACGAACTTTGCCATGGTCATTAGTGCATTGAATTTCGATCAAAACAATGCCATGCGAAACTTACGCATAGACAACAATTGAACAAAGAAACACTAGAATGCTTGTACTTTTCTGCCCGTCTCCCAATCTCCAGATTTTCCGCATTTTTGTTTCTCCCATCTGCTCGTTACCGATGCTTCACACGTCGGAAAAAGAAATTTCAGTTTTTTTTCGATCTTGAGATTTAGATTCCGCTAAATGTTCTTATTGAAGTTCATTCAGAATCTCTCATTCTGCTATAGAAGTAGAGATTTTGCGAAAGCTCCTACTTCGATTTCATTTTTAAATGAATCGAACCAGGCTTGCTTTTCTCGCGATAATCTGTCATGTGCAGCTTCCGAAAGATGGACTGTTGTTATTTAACCAAGGTTGACTATGTATTGATATTTCTCACTCCTTTCTCTGGATGAGCAAATGCGTAACGCATGAGATGTTTTGACACGTTAACCTTTCTTCGAAAAAAAAAAACTCTTCTTAATAACGGCAGATCATGGTCAGTTCCACTAGCGATCTTGAATTGATCTCGTTTTAGGTTTCGTTGCTACTCTCAAATGTGCTATCTCAAAATAGTTGGACGGGGAGGAAAGGACAAAAATGGATTATTATGCTTTGCTAATGAATGCTGCTCAAATTTCTGACGTACGCCCTTAGATTGACTTAACTCAAATACGTTGGTTTACTCATACGATTCTTATAACAGTTGAGCACATCATTCTTCAAAAAGGTATCGCATATTTCACCTGATATGACCATACGAAACGATTATAATAACTCGCTAATGATCATATCCCATTCAGTAAATGAGTCCCTCGAGAGACTACGTCGTATCAATTAACATCTACAGGCGTCCCTTGAGTAAACCAATAAGGTTAAGAAAAGCTATAAGTAAGGGAAGAAGCTGCGCTGAGTCTATTGCTCTCTCTTCTTGGCTCTTTTTAATTGAGAATTTCGTCCGAATGTGGTTCTGTCACTTTGATCAAGTGCTGGAACTTCGGTACCTAGATCACTTCTACCTCGTTTTCTAAGCAAGGTATCAACTATCAAAGCTCTGGATTTAAAAATTTCAGGTAAGCATGGCACTTGTAACCCAGCTTCTCTGTGTCTTCTTGCTGGTCAATGTTGTCTCCTGTCACTATCTCTGGTTTGACATGCCCAGCCCTCAAAAAGTGAGTTCCAAAAATTCTGCTTTTAAATTGCGTGTTCAGATTGTGAGACAGAAAAACGAGATTTTAGACTTATAAGAAAAAAAAAATGAAATCTTAGCGGGTACTCTCAAGAAATTTGCAGCCAATTCTAGCCAAAATAATTTTGATAATTTTCTCCCCTCAAAATGCCTTCATAAATGATGCGGACTCCAATTGAGCTGACGTCAGCCGATCTGGTGACAGTGTTTGCATATGAACTGCGTTGGACGTTTGAATAGGTGTGATCATTGGTGTTTACAAACCAAACCTGCTGTAAAATGATCAAAAAATAACTTGAATCAAAGTTATTCACTCGTACAGGAGTAGGTGGCATTTTGGAAAGGACAAAAATTAACCTTGATGCCCTTCATTGGATATATTAGAACACAATACCATAGTAGAAGCTGCATGTGATGAAAAGTTCAAGATGTTTTTGATTCTTTTATTTTCAGCTAAGTGACGGTGCGGAAAGTCTTTATGAGGATGAACCTCTTCAACAAATGCAAAAACGATTTCGAGTGAAGTACATTCGAGAACTTGGACGGCTACCTGGTCCGCCTCTTAAGTAAAACTTATTTATGGAACATACGCCACCTAATGGTCAGGATAAACCGTAGCTTTAACATTGTCATATATCTTTTAACTTGAAATAAAGCAATTTCGCTGAACTTCGTAGATTAGAAAATTTGAAGCAGCTTCTAGTTCTCGGTCTGAGGTAAAATGCGATTTCTATGGATTTGAGTGCATTTGTATTTTACCAGATGACTTCATATCTTTGTACTTTTTTCAGTCCTCGATACTAATAAACTCCCAAAGTTTGGCGGCATATCATTACCTGCTCACTATCACAAGCTCACAACCTCATCATTTCGAAGTAAGATCCCCTTCCAACATTCCCTCAAAAAAAAAATTCGCTGTTGTCGTGCCCTCCTCGTGCCAGCCAACCTTGGCAGATGTTTCCACATTCCTGTTGTGCTAATATGTTTGTTATGCATGAAGGACACTTTTGCACTTATGCTTTTCTCGCACATACTAACACTCTTTTTAGAAGATCACCATCTACAACCATTGAGATTATGGGCATCCCCAACGTCGCCACAGGACCATCTGATCAACCTTTACAATATACTTCGTCGTGTTGTGAAGTGATTTCTTGAATCATTTTAGTCAAAAACATCCGCTTTATCTGGGTTTCGCTGTGCCCTGCCCTAACGATCAGCTCGTTCACGTAAAGCACTTGCACTTAAGATAAACGTTACTTGTTTCTTATGCTGATGTGGTGATGTTTTTCATAGGTTCATGCATGTATTCTCGAATACTGCACATTGCTTTACGAATATTTTCAAAAATCGGATAAGAAATTCTTCCGCATTATCCTGTAGGTTTTCCTACCCATACCATAAACGAGAGAATGAAGATGTAAAGATTCATAAGGTCACTCACACTCATCGTACATTGTACATAGTACACAGTACATTTCTGGTAACAATTATCAATTTAACAATACACAGTAATGCTTCGAAGAATGAGCGACATAAAATGCTAAGACGTTTTCCAAGGACGCAATATAATATACAATATACTCGTAATTTCTGGTCAAAAAATGTAAGGGGAAATTATAGCACCGTTCATGTGTGCGAAGTGAATCGGAGAGTGAGCTCGTCTTAGTGGTTAATAGAGTACATGATATATCTCTAATGCTTGACTAGTACTCGAATCGAGATTTAAACTAAGGATTTATTGATTGGACTGAGTACATTGCATCTCTCTGCCTTTGATAGAAGTTATAGTATCTTTACGGTATCGAGGCTAGTTGCAATTTTGAGGATGGTGTGGATGGAGTCGCTCCTCTCCAACAACATCGGTGTTTAGTGTGGATTGTGTTGCACCATTACAAAGTTGCGCATGGGCAGTATAGTAGCATTTTTCGAATGTAGTTGCGCAACTTCAGCGCCTTGTTGTTGATAGAGTTGCAGAGCAACTTTAGCACCACCAATAAGTGCGGCTACAGTTGCAACAACTAGACTGCAAAACGCAGCACTATTGAACAAGCTGTTTCTCGACGCAGTTGCTGCAACTTTAACAACACCAAGTGGTAGTGCCTAGTACTCAGTCCATTTCGTAAAACCCCAAAGCACAATCACAATTTACAACTCAATCTCTCAGTGCCTAGATTAGTATATGAAAAGTTATTTGCACGAGATACTCGTCATCAAATGGAAAACCGAACAGAAATGCTTGCACTGGGAAGATGTGTGACATTAATGGGCAGCTGGCAACGACGACACTGCACATGTCATAATTATACTACTGTTGTTAGAGAGTGTCGTGGTGTATTCTGAAAAATACCCAGCGAGGAGATGTCGGGAACCACTTGCAATGGTCGATGTCGAGAGAAATGAAGGATGTCGCTTGGGTGGGGAGAACTTTCTTTGAGCGTATGATCCTCTGATTCTGTCGACGATGTCATCACTGCAGGCATATGCTCTGGTGTAGTGTGCTCGAGTACCGTGTCCAGTTCACGATCGAAGGATTTGAAAATCAATGATCGTTTTCGAGATCTGGCAAGATTGTAGGCAGATACACTCTTCACTGGTGGTTTCATCTCGGACAAGGAGGAGAGGCAACTAAAATAAATAAAACTCTAGGGAATTTCACATTGAAATGGTCAAGACATTAAATTACCTCTGTGCCTCTTCCTCCTCGCTAATGTCATAGGTAGAGTAATATACATTTGTAGTAGCAGTTGTTGCTACAGACACCGAATCCGACGCCAGGGATTCAGGATTCACGCTCATGGTTGACATATAGTCAGCTAAGGAGGAGGACGAGATGTTATCATACTTGGAGTGTAACCTCCTACGAGGTACTAAAAACGGAAAACTCTAACTACCGTCTGTCTACTCACACAATCTCTTCACCTACCTAACGGGGCTATATCATCATTAGCAGTCATCATCGTGTAAGTACTCTCCTCATCTCGTGAAATTACAGTGGGCTTTCGAGCAACATCCGCTTCCAAGAGAATCACATCGTTAATCTGGCGCTCCTCTTCTACAGCTCCTTTGGCTTCTTCAGCTGGAGTCCGTGGCGACCGTTCTTGGGCTAAAATTCAGAATTAGTTCAAAAATTATGTGGTACTGAAAAATTTGCCAGCTGCTGATGAATCGTACCCTGCGACCTCCCCAAGGTCTTGTCTAGAACGGCTTCAAAAGTTTCTGTGTGGATAGGTATTTTCTTATTCAGCCATGGATGCTGCCGTATCGCCGTTAATGACGCCCGCGATCCAGCAGCGGTGGTAAGACATGACTTGATCAGTTGGCAGCATTCTGCAAAGATTCTTTTCAAAATTGAAGAAAAACTGGAAGGGTTTCTCCTTTCGATTTGACATGAGTGCAAAGATGCAGCACAGGCTCAAGGAGCATCTGGCACCTGTGACGCACGATTTCTGTCGCTGTGAGTCGGGGCTATCTCTTCGCTAGGTGCGTGACGTAATGGCGCGAAAAAATTTGCCACCGATGCTCTCAACAAGTTGTCAAACATAGAATTATCTCACCTTTGGACACATACGATGGAAATTTCACCCGTCCAAGACAGATCTGAATTTCATTTCGGAAGGGAAGCTGTCCCGTTACGAGTATGTAGAGCAGAACGCCTAATGACCAGCTAGTGGCTTCTAACGGGAGATACTGTAGTTGTCGGAACCACTCTGGTGGACAGTAGGATCGAGTTCCTGCACTACGGTAATGTTAATAATTTTGAATCTCAAATTATATTTCACGTTTTACCTTGAAACTCCTTTTTCATGGCTTTTTCAGCGGATGCTGTAGCACCAAAATCCACAAGCTTCACCTCGCCAGTCGTCATGTTTACAATCACGTTTTCATCCTGAGCAGAATAAAAGATATATGGTTCTCCAATAGATAAAATGTTATTTACCTTGATATCTCGATGGATAAGCCCATGCTTAACGTACATTGTGCACACTGAGTCTACAACTTGGATAAAGAGCGCCCGTGCAGTATCTACAAATCGCATTTTAATCTTGATCACTATAAATCTGCGCTGCTCACCTTCATCGAGTCTGCCATAGGTGGATATCAAATCGAATATATCCATGCAATTTTCCGGTCGCTCCATAACGATTAGAAATCCTTTTGAGCTGAAAACAGCTACACTGCTAGCCAAAGAAAAGAAACATTGAAGAGATATGCGCTTACTTTGCAAACCAATCTATTAACCGGATAACACCTGGAACGTCTTTGCATGTTTCCAGATGGCACACTTCAGATGGTATCAATTGATTGCATGTCTGAATTGAACGCTTTTACCTAGCAATTAATTATTTGTGATTATGAGCACTTACCATAGTCCACTCTCTAACATGTTTGTGTTCTACAAATTTCACTGCCACTGGAAAATTATCAGCTATTCGGACAGCTCGATAGACTATACCAAAACCGCCACGACCAATTTCTTCCAGAACATTGTACTGCCGTCGGAATTCCTTGGCTGAGTGTGCTGTAAATCTAGCACTTTTTCTTGTTTCTTCACAAAAACAAGGCAATGCACCCTTCTCACATTCCCCAAAGATTTACTCATTTCTCAAGTCTTTTACTACGATTAGGCTTAGAGTAGACGCGCACAAGAACTGTCGGCGACATCTCTGTGTTCATCTTCAGAAAAGAAAGATCAAGTCGCATTGAGAAAACAAGCAATGAACCCTATTTGGACAACCAGAAATCTGATAAAGTCGCCGCAATTCTGTTAGAGTGGCTGCAACTTCAATGCGCAACCCCTACAATTTTACTCCGTTCGCACACAACTAGCAAAGGAAAGTTTTTATGGATATGGAAAAATGGAAAAAGTAATGCCACATTTTTTGTGATTTTCGAAAACCAGATAGGGTTAAGAGCGTCCAAAAACTATCTTTTGCAGAATTAGCGCTAGACTTGCTTGGACTCCCACGGGTTAACGTCATTCTTCTAATACAATTGAAGTACTTGAAAAATAATCCCACGGCCATATAAAGATATCAGATTTCCACATTCCATTGGCAATATGAATACAAATACAAAAGCTAGATTCCACTTTTTGAAAATGCTGTTTATCTGCTGGATTCAAAGCAAGTTCATTGGCGTCAAGTCAAAGTTCAAGAGCTCCGAAATTCAGCAAAATTCTGAAAGAAAACCGCAATTTGCTTACCTTTTTGATGTAGAAAATCGACCTGGTAAGAGCAACATACAGTCAGATCTTGTAGTTTTCGTTTTAACATCCTGAAACAGAAAAAATGAAATGTGCTCTTGGGGAGACTATTCTATAATTTTAAACAATTGATTTGGCCATTTTATTTCGAAAGGTCTGCGCAAAATTTTGAAGTGCAAAAAATGCAAAGACAGTGAGATAACTACAAATCTCTCATGTCATTTTCTCCCCATTGAAAATTTGAAAAAAATAATGAAGTTTTGGGATTGACAATGTAATAAATCAAGAGGAATTTACTTTGTGCCTTGACATTACTTTCAGCGATTTGTTAGATAGAGTCGAGTAATGAAAGGAATGATTTCCACAAATATTGCACATCGGTCGCGACAAATGTTATGTCTAGGGTAACAATGGATCTATAATGTTTGGTTTGGTTTGTGTTTGTTTCCTGTTCCATTAGCTTGAGAGTTCTTTGAGAGAACACACATGTCAGGTTTTTGTGAGAATGTCGGAATAAAAAAGTTGACTTGAGCATCGTTCAATGCCTACGCGGATAAAACAGCATCACTTATGGCTAATCGAATCGCTGAGTTTTTGCGCATCCAAAATAATCAAATGAAGTTTCATTTAGATATGGTATAAGAAAGTAGTAAGCGACTTGGAACACTGTGTGAGCGCCAATGAACTGAAATTTTGGATATAGCTTGCGTGAGAAACCTCAAACGCATGAGGAACTGCTGGTGCGCAAAAAGAGCTATTTAGATTCCGCTTTGAGATGAGAAAGATGCACTAAACGAAGAAAAGGGATGAGTTACCCAGGGGGATTCTAGTAGGATTTGACATTGGGCTGACTCAAAAGAAGACAAGACAGGTTGTCTTCTAGCCCAAGATATGATGTCATCTACAAACATGGTGAAATTCAGAAGATAGAAAAAGGAATGCAATGAGACACGGCTACGCTATGATCATCATCTGCAATGAGCTAAGTATCGCTTATATTATTTCGCTCAAAATGTATGGCAAGTCGTACAGTGGCAGAGTGGCAAGAAGCTTCTTGAATATCGTCTTTTTGAGTTTACACAGTTTCGTAAGAGATCCAGAATCTTCAAAAATGTGCCAGATGTCAACACTACAGCGGCCCTTGGATACGTGCAGCAGCAATGACTGATGAAAGTCGAGTTATAAAGTATGAAGCGAAAAAGTATAACGAAATTTATGCCTTTAGAGAGTCGATAATATAATTCTTGCAGCCAATTTCCAGAAGAAGGAAAAGCCTCGGCAATCCAATGCAGGAAGAGCAAAATAATGGAAGCAGGTTAGGCTTCCGGGTGGAATTCAAAACGCAAGATGTTTGTTATGCAAGCGCAGGGAAATGAGATGGAGTTTAGGAAATGACGAGAACCACGGCCAGATCTCATCGTGCCAGCCGAAAAAAAGAAGCGAAAGCAAGGAAAACAAATGACATTGTGGTTGGCAGGAGAACGTTAACGTTCGCCTTAGAACATTGTAATTACATTTTGTCTCCTAGGGACAAAATTATAACCTTGTTTGTAGCGATTTTCAAAAGAAATTTAGCAGATTGGATGTTATCTACGTGCAACATCATTTTTCATGATCTTATCAGCTTAGTTGCTTGAGAAATTGCCAAAACTACTAAAAATTGACTAGGGAGTGGAGCTCCGCCACAGCATTAAGCCTAATTGTTCCTGACAGCTCCGGGTAATCGTAGTTTTGAGGTCCTCAACACATCCAAATCTTTCCAGACAAGAATTCTCGTAATTCGCGTGAATAGCTACGATAGACCGAAGTTGGAATTTCATTATGCTAATTTGAGGCTTAGAAAGTGCAGTGGGATATTTTGCATTTTTTGGAGCACCCTTGAGAAAAAGACTTAATGCCAAAAATGACATGTTATGGAATGACAAAAGGAGATAGAAAATTCCTTGGATCTTTCCGCAGCACTGAGTATAGATATCTGATTAAATCCAGTTCCAGAAGCACACTGGGGATTTCACATTGAAGAAATAAAATCCAGGATTTTGAAACCCATACCTTCGAGAATATGGCATGAGCAAATATAAGACATATAAATGAAAGCTGGTCAAAGAAGACTTTTTGGAAGTTATTGGAGCGGAACGAACAATGTGGGTATGCAACCCAACCTTCGATTTTGGACTCTGGAGTAGAGAGGGCATGTTTGTTGAGTTTTGTACTAACTTCAAATAGTACAAGCATTTCTAACACTTTGTCACTCTGCTCCATAATATAGGCTGAAAGTGCTTGTAAACAGTGGCTTTGAGGATACGTATTTGCGTAACACATTATGTACAGCGTATCTCAAAACATAAGCGTTTCTTTCCATTTTCGGGTTAGCAATGATGCAAAGATGCAAATCAGATTCGGATTACCTCGAAAAACAGGGCTCCTAAAGAGATTGGATGAGCGGCTCAAGCGAAGACATAAAACCGAGTCAAGCGAGGCAGAGATGAAGAGAATGACGGGAACAACAAAGACAAGCGGCTCGCGATGTCCTATTGGCAAGTGCATCCACAAAAGAAAAACTACATTTGAAGCTGTTATAGCTTCTCATCTACCAGCTCTAATGGAATTACTTGAAAGACATGCCGCAGTCGAATGTATGAAAGAGGAGCAGACTCCGCACAAAGCATAGAAAATTTAAATTATGAGCCATAAGCTCAAGACCTTTTCAAGTATCGAGATACCATACATAATGTCATAGACTCGCTAGAATTACATGCAGAACCTAATGTATCTAATGACCAAAAACTGAAATCTAAATTCCAACGGCAGGATTGCAGAAGCGTGACACATGCTAGTTTTCAACTTCCTCGCAAAGAACTGGGAAGATGCTGCCGAAATGGATGAATTTGCAAGTGCGGAACTAATTTGATGACGCTGCTGCAGATTTGGTAAATCTTATTGAGAGATAAGAAAGTGAAAGCGTGTATATAGTACAAGCGGAAATCGTAGATTTGTAATGATTATTCAGAATCATTTTTGAAAATTCCAAATGCTATATAAATGTTTAGATTTGAACTAAGTCAAGCATATATTTCTAAACAACTGACTGGAGGGCAATGGAAGGCGTCAACAGCTGCCGCTTACTGCTGGTAGCGGTGAGTGCGAATGTGATGGCTTATGCAGCGGATCAATAATGGGATCCATTCTATCAAAAAGGTTTCAAGAGCTGCACTTGAAGGTAAATTAGGAAAACTCTTGAGCGCGAGCAGACCAAAATACTCGTCCCGTCCGCAAACAGTGCTCAGCCTTGAAAAGACATCATTTCATCAGCCTCTCACTTTGCAACATTTCTCAATAATTCACGTTAGCTCTTAATAGAAGAAGGAGCGAAAGACTGGCTTTAGTGCTCCCAGGAGACTTCTAGCTACTTCCAAGAGCAAACGCGATAGCGAATAAAATGCTGCAAAGCTGGGGAATAAAGAAAGCTTGAATATTCAATAACGCTGAAATTTGCCAGAAAACCTCATTTCCTCCATGACTAGTGGGAACTCGAACGCTAAAATCCATTCACCATGCGTATAGACTAGCAGCAATATGAGCGAAAAAAATTTGGAGGACAAAGGCATTGGTTGAGCCTGCCCTCATTCCGGCGATAAGATTTTTGGAGCAAGTAATGGCACGGAACTACAAGAAGAAACGCGTTAGGTGCTACAAAAAAAACTGTCCGGCACAGTTCTAGTCAAAAAATCTGGGTAGGGACCACTTGTTTTTGCCTCTGTGGTGTTATGTTTCTAGAACTCTGGACCATCAGGGTGGCGGACCTAGCGACAAGGGAGCCCGCCCCCCCCCTACCCGAGAATGGGTGGCGATATTTTCAAAACTTTTACATGGGTTATAAAAATATGCAAGTGACTTGTTTATCCTTGTAAACAATTGAAATTATTTCTAAAAATTTTGAAAAATTCATTCTAGTTTTGTAACAAATGTCCATCTGCTACGTGTCAAGATAAAAATTAACACGTTTGCGTTCAGTTTGACAAGTTAATTTTTTTTTTCAGGATTATTTCCCGTGAGGTACGAAAGCATTTGTATCCAAAAGCTGTTCAGCGATTTTTCATAAAAGCAAAACAATGCAGAAGCCAAAATGTCGCTTTTAGCAACGATTCAAAAGATCTTCCCTTCTAAACTGTCTCCGCGAATTTAGCCAGAGAGGAATATAACAGGTGGTTTGAAGAACCTGGCTATCGCTTGTTCCGCTTAGGTGATGGAATAATAGCCTATATATCTGTTTTGGACAAATTTAATGTGCTCATTGAACATAGGATGTTATTTTTATGATGTGTTCAATTTGGAACTGTTGAATAAAAATTGGGTCGTAAAACAGATTGACCTCACATTAATAGGTAGGGCAAACAAATCTTTGGTAAAACCTGTTAAACATGTAGATGACATGTCAGTTTTTTCTGACACGAGAAAGAAGGTTAACACTAGTTCCTGTGACCAAATTTGGTGCAGGGAAAGAAGCGACATCCTTTTCAAAAAATGGATTCGGACAACGGAAAAGTACCAAGTCTTGTCTAAACTGAGGAAGCGCCATGATATAACTGTTGAGCCATGCAATGATGGAGCAACTTCTTATCTTAACATTGCTAAAGCAGGAAGGTGAATATCTACATTCAATGCAATAGATGGTAAAGCTGCTATGGTGTTGAACAACTTTGTTGCCATCGCATAAGGAGTAACGAAATTGCAGTGGTGAACAACAGGGGCGATGAGCAACATGGTGTTGAACAGCTTTGTTGCAGTTGCACGAGGAGTAACGAAATGGCAGTGGTGAACAACTGTAGTGATGAGCAACGTCATGTAGAAGCGACCATACTAAAAGGGTACAAATACTATTTAACAAGCGTTATTTTGCTGTGAAACAGATTGCAAACTGATATGAACAATTACAGCCAAGCTACTTTTGCTACTCTATGAAACTGTGAGAATGTGCTCAAGCATGAGCAAATGGCGAATTTTATATGAGAAAACCAACGAAAAAAATGGAGCGATGACATAATGCTGAAAACTCTCTTTGTTCTTTTTC